TCAACAAGGGCACGCTGAATTTCACTTTGTATTAGTTGCCGTTTAGCGATATCATTCAATAAAAACGAATTAGAACATGACTACATTTTGACAAGAGTTTCTGATTACTGATACGTGATACAAAAACTATGATTATAACACAAACAAAGGTCTAGCAACCGCTATTGCCCACTCGACATCATAAGATTATAAGTAAATGTAAATAAAAACAATGTACCTTCACACTTGAATCAAATAAAATGATATTGTGTCTGTTGGACACTTCTGGGTTGATGAAGTACTATTTTCGTTTATTCACTAAAAATAATAAATTATTCACGTTACAAATATTTTCATTGCACATTTAGATTCGTAAAACATTGGCGATAAATTAGATAAAAGGCCGATTCATAAAAATAAAAACTATTGTTTTTATGAAAACATAAACGCAAAATTGTGTCCGCGAGACACTTGTGGGTTGTTAAGGGTTAAACTGAATATTCACAATAGAAGCATTTTAGGGTCGATTTTTGTGGCAAAATAGAAATTAGTAATGCAGCTTGCTTCCTGTAATGCACATACGCCGCATGCTCACAGCTCGCATGTATCATTTGAAGCGATGCCATGTCGCAACCCGCCGACATGTGGACAGAAGCTGTGCACTGACGCACATGACATACCACACTACGACAAAAAATATTATACAATAAACTGTGTCTTCGCTCACTAACCAAATATAGAGAAGACTGGGCCATTAGATCAATGACCGCTTATTCAAAAGTCAAAATCAATAATCTCACGCGATTTGGAAGCAATGTTCCGGATATAGGATCTTACAATCGTGTACCAAACAGTTATTTCTGGAAATGTGGTTAGAATTGTGCAGACTTGAAGGCGGAATGTGTCAATAAGTCAAGTATTTCCTAACAGCTCTCCACGTATTTTAGTTAGGGAGTGATACAAAAGTAATAGTATGCAGCATCCAACTGAATAGTATTCAGCTCAAGAGTCTTGAAGCGCGTATTAAAATATAACGATGAAAGCTCTTTAAAGGAGTTTTATATAAAGTTCGTTAAGAGTATGGAAGTTAATAATGATCGAAGTTAGCAGGTAACTTTATACGTACTAGATGTGCTATATTTACGATTAGTAAGCTACGCCACTAATTATATTACGTCTAGCGTCGTCTGAGTGTAAACAAAATACACCACATTGTGGTTTCCAGGAGGTGATGCCGGTGTGTCCGCACCGTTTGCTAGGGATGGCAATACGGGAAATGCTTGCGGCCTCTCGAAATAAACCAACATTATCACGTGCTGGTTATACTAGAGCAAATACATAGGTACATGTTCGAACATTAACTATTATCCAAAATGTTTGTATAAAAAGCCCGTGTCTAGACAGGTACCTAATTTCTAAGTCTAGGTCTGCCGAATACAATGACGTCATGATTTGTTTCGTCTAACCTACGTAAATACAATTACGGATGATTGATTTGTCCTTACGTAATCAAAACATCACTTACGTATTATGTATATTTCAAATTGCGATAAAACAACGTGCCATAGCGCATAGGTATAAAAATTACAGCCGTATAATTATTGCAGAAAGTAAACGTGGACTTAGGCAGCTCGCGACGTAGAACAATGCAATATTGTATTATGTACATTCTTTTGAGATTACAAACAATTTACTTCTGTATTTATCACTGAACTTATTTCATGAATCTTGGTCTAAATTCAAATTGTAGATTTCAGTAGCCAGCATTGTTTTCCGTGGAAATGCAAGTTCGCTTACACTCGAAATACATAGTAGGTACTGGACGGTGCATACGCCATGAAATGAGTAATTTGTTGACCACGACGTAGAGGCATTCGTTAGTTTCAAAGGCATTCCTAGTGACGGACGAAATACGAACTCGGAGAGCACCGACTAACACATATTTAAGTGAAATTTCGACGTAAATTTCAAATATGGCTGTTTTGAAATAAATCAGACATTGAAACAATAAAGTATAATCCGCAAGTTGTACAAAGTTTGTTGAACATTACACACAGCGTGGCTTGAGCGCGGCTGGATGACTAATTCTGGACTATTTCTGTGTCCCCGCCGTTCATAAAGACCTGCATACTTATATGTATGTGTGTGTATTAATGTGTTTGTATTGCATTACTGTCGAATAACTCGCCGCTTAATTATGTGCCTAACATCTGTACGGTGTTGTGAACAGAGTCGGTTTACGTATTTCTTACTAACTGATTACAGTTACTGCTATATCAGTATGAATTTGATAGTACATGGGTCAGCGGCTAGATAACACACCATTATCAGAGAAAATGGCACTTGACAATGAGGGTTATACTTTTCTCTTGTGCTTTGCTTTTACATCGTCGCACCATGAAATGAATGAAAGATACGTTGAAACTTAAAATAACGAATGTGAATTCAGACACGTAGTAAAACTGCGCTTGTAAATTATTCATGGTAGAAATAAACTAGATTTAGGCATTAAAAATTTTAGCAACTGATTGGAAGTAAATTTTAACGTCCCTAATGATAATAGTTTGGAAATTTGTAACAGGAACACGTGTGTTGCTTGCATAGGTCAACATCATAGTCTAGCACTACTAGAGTGACACGGAAGACGCTGCGTGATACATGAACTAAATGAAGGCTTAACATAGTGTGCTCACCCAAAATAGGGAAACCGTCCCGAAATTTATAACCAAACGCATGTAAAACAATGTAAACAGGTTGTTTCGGGAACCTGCAAAGTGGTTCCAATATTAGAAGCTCTACTGCACAGCAAACTTTGGTCTACTCCACCAAATATGGATGAGACGAGCAGAGCGAAGATGTTTTTTTAACAACCAATAGAATTTCGTTATAAATACATCTCATTTTCGTCTCTGTTGAGAGTATGCTGTGCTACACGGAAATGCAAGCTATGCCACTACTTCTTCCATTTGCCCATCGTTATACAACAAAATCACAAAGAAAAAGTGCGTACTACACCATGGAAACACCCTCGTTTACACTTCGGACACCTCAGTACATTCCTACTATAGTGTAGGTTGGCCCTGTTGTTTCATCGTGTCACTAGTGTCAATCCCATACTTCCAATAATGAAATGGACAGACTGTCGAGTTCTCGACCCCAATATTAATACCGTATTTGAGAGCAGTCAGCCAACCAAGAAATCTGAATAATTGAAAAATGTGATATGTATCACAAAAAACCGATGGACGGTTGTTTTTATTTACGTCCAACGGAAGTTTTGTAACTACCAAAATGGCCTTTTCTATGAATAGAAGTAACGTGAACTGAAAATAGCATTAACTGCTTTTGTTTATTTGCTCCTAATTAAACAGACGTGTTTTTATTAACATTATTATTCGCCAGTGAAAATGTACACTGTGCTTTAAATTACCAATGTATAACACTGTCCTAACCACCAGTTATCGTGTATGTAAGCCACTGTAAGGACAATGGGGGACGCATGGATAGACTGTCGGCAGGGTTCGAAGGAACCCAATGAATAGCACGGCAGTAGCTATAGTGCGTTCGGTTCGCTCGTTCATTACAGCATTCACGTCATTCGCACCTATCCAGCTATTCGCATCATGTTGCCCTTTCTGCTTGTTGGTTAGGCTCTCTAACTGCCTAGACTCATTCATACTGCGTAAATACACACACATTGGTTCACTATTTTAACTATTACTGATGGAAATGGCCGATTACTGTCATCTTAAACACTCACACTAATTTTTGCTGTGGCAATTTTCAACATAAAATAATGAGATGCATTATTTTGCATGGTCAGTTGTAAATTATAAGGTTATTTATAAAACGATTTGCAACGACTCAATGATAAAGCTGTAAAGCGAATAATAGTGATAAGTTCGTGGCTACGTTAATAAATTAGGTGGCAATTTATACTATTCCACTGTAACATTACAATGAATGACAAAAAGAAAAACTGAGAATATATATGTATGTACGCCTTCAAATTGCTTGCAACGCCAACTAACAATGAAATGCTAAGATGAATTACTTTTTGAAGCTACATATTTCATTTTGCCGTGCTTTAGTTATGAAATCAGATGGCCAATAAAAAGCGCCAATTTCCACGTTTTTAATTTTGCTAGTTTTAAACCAAGAAAAAAATAACGTACGAAATTCTTAATACGCATATGAATAGATCGGTATTTATTGAACTAAACAATGATTTATGCTTGTCCATCAGTAGCAGTATCTAGATGCAAAATTTCATTAAAAAAATTAAGGACATTAAATTCACCCAATTCACGCAGGTTCGAAACCAGTTTCATTGGTTCTGTACCAATGCAATCTTTTCTCGATTGATGTCGCAACCACTTAGCGAGACCCCTTGAAAGCACCAACATTTATACATTACTGTCTTTGCAACATGTATTTTCGCGTCTCATTTACTGGTCGACAGCTATGGACTCATTCAACTGAACTTAAACACCGTTATACAATATTCATTTGTAGGTATATCATTTAGAAAGCTCGATATTGTTAATGTCACTACATTCGACAGTTGAAGGGGGAAACGATAAGAAAAGTCAAGTCAACATTAAGTTTCTTTCTTTTATAACCTAAAACGCATCAAAATAATGAAATGTTAAGGTGAACGTTTCACAAAATAACAAAGATGACAGTTTATTAGTTTAAGTCCAAATCGTGGAAGCCACCGATGTCAATAGACGAGCAGGAAAGGAGCGCCAACGTACAGTCCGCGGATCGCCATCTAAAAATACTCTATTTCCCCGACTCGATATTGAAAGGATGCCAAAGGATAATGACTCATGGGGCAGGAGAGTGTAGTATCGTTTTAACATTAGGGTTAAGAATCTGTTTGATAACAAACACAAGCTGTAATTTTCTTATTGTCATATGCTCCAGCTGCTTGCGTATTCAAAACCAAGAAATGCAATTTAAAACATTGACTTTATGTGAAATAAGATTTTGTACAAATGTCTATTCATTGATTCCAGGACCACTGTCAGTAACGATCGAAAACTGCGAGACTGTGTCGACAGAGGGTCAAGCTTTCTCGTGGTTGCTTAACATGAACATCACCAATGTCGGTACCCTGCAACTCGGACCCGGATCTTTCACCCTGGACCCGTCAGCCAGCAACGTTGGCGAGCATGGGCCTGGGATGTCGGTCAGTATATCTTCATTCCAGCGCAAGTAGGAGCATAACGAATGACGCATGGCGAATGAATTATATGCAAATGCGATATTATTTTTTTTAATTTGAGACCGTCTTTCTCATTATATTAACTTCTTCTTATTACAGATCAGGCTGAAAAATATTTCCCTGCCCGCCATCCCTGCTCAGACTTTTGGATCATCTGCTGCCGAAATAGTATTCGAAAACGTTAAGATTAATGAGATCTTCGCTGGAGCTTTTTCCGCCAACACCTACAACATTGTGATGGCTTTAAACTCGTCAGTGCAGAACATCGATGAAGATGCTTTCTCTCAAAGATCCCTGATTAACAACCTGTATTTCTTTGGTTGCAAAGTCCAACAAATCGCTTCAAGAGCAGTTCAATCGGCCATCGGAAATCTTAATATTTCGTATACTTTGTGAGTACCATCAACGCAATGTCGTTTATTAATTATAGACTATCTACTTTAAGATTACATAGGTAGGACCGTAAAATTGACTCTTATATTACCTTTCTTTAATTTAAACTTTATTAATTTCAGGATTGAAAATATGGACACAGGTGCAATCAATATTACAGTAGCATCTGTTGTTATCCGAGACACCGAATTCAACCAACTTATGGAGAGAAGCATAGAACTGTCTTCATGGAACAATCTGCAGATAGAAAGAAATTCATTCGATGAACTTGTCCCTAATGCTATAGTAGCTTTGGATACACTCACACACGAACAATCTGGTCATCGCCTTACTTTTATTGAGAACGAAGTAGAGACTGCACATCCTAACAGTCTCAAATTTATAGGTCAAGCTGAAGCAAATGATGCGTACACAGTAGTGTATAAAGATAACTACTATGGAAAAACTTGTTACTGCAATATTAGTAACTGGTTGCACGAAGTCTTGGGAACGGAGTCTAGTGAGCCTTACAAGACCGAAAGTCATTGCACAGTGGACGAGTTTTTAGCTCGATGTTTCAACGAACCCGAACAAAACATTCTGTTCAACAAATTCCTTGATTCTGGCATATGCCAAAAAGACTCAGTTACATTTCATTGTGAATCTTACATGAGGAGAGCTGATGGAAGTTCAACTGAAATAAAAAATCCTAGATTTCCCCACAAAAATAAACACGATCAAATCATAAGTGAGCGAGACAAGAAAGTGATTGGTATCGTTATAGTAACTTGTTTGGGTTGTGTCGTGATAGTTATGATCATCAGTTTTGTTAGATGGATGCGCCGTAAGGGATATTGCATTAATGTAAAAAACTTGCTAATTTCGTCAAACTCGTCCTGCGGTACGTTTTGCGAGCGAATATGCACGTGTGGAGTAGTTACCGGTCTAGATAATGCCCGATCCATATCCCGATTATCTGTAAATGAATATTCTGAACGTCATTGTTTAAATGAACCAACTCGCGTTCAGGACATTATTCAAGAATCTACTCTACATGACGAAATTGTTCCGACAGAAGATAAAACAACGCAGACTTTGCCTGAAGAACTAACAAAGGAACTTCTAGAAAATCTTAAAGAAAGATTGGAAAGCCCAGAAAATTATATAGAGGCTCGTGAAACTATTGAGCACTTATACGTGCTAACGAAACTTGAAGAAAATCGTAACGCAATGGTTCCTAAATTAATCAATGTCGAAGAAAATATTTACGAATTACCATTCCAAAATACAACACCTCGCATTGGTAAGAATAAAAAGCAAATGATCAGCATTGGAACCCGAACACCATCTCTTGACAAACTCTTGCCGCTGTCGCCGTACAATCGGCAAACTGCTCTAGTTCACGAGTATTTTGAACCAAAAGATTTAGCGGTACACCTGTATGCCGAAATTGCTAATAACGAAAAAGAAAAACGCACCTTGCTAGGCAATATGCCTGACGTGGTTGCGGAGCAGGCGGTGCCACGTGGCCCATACCTCCGTGCGGTCCGCGAAAAAATGAATTCCTCGTCTGGGTCGCAAGTTAGCTCGCCACCTAAGACCTTGAACAACTCTACTGGATCCCGTGGAATGTCGACTATTAAATCGACATCATCAAATACGTCAGCTAAAATGATAAATCGTCCCTTACCCGAGAAACCCACCACCCTGGACCCAGGAGAAGGAACGTCGCTACGGCTTGGTTGAGGGTTAGCCCACGCGCGGCCGGCGCCAGCGCACAGCGACGGGGCTCGTGAGACACGCCCTCGCAAAGAAACGCATCGCCGACCGCCGCCGTCGTCGCCCGGGCAACGTGGTAAGGACTTCTATATGGAATTGGACCCCTGTGTAACAAGCTAAACGGGCGAATGATCGACGCGACAATCGAGACGATGCTTAAACATTTCTTTGCTGTGATATTAATTTTGTTTACTTTAATTTGTATGTACTTTGAGTGATGTGTCGTGCCAGACACTGTTGTATGTTTATTTGTAAATAATTTACGAGTTGTAATTATTAATTCTTAATGTTGATACGTGCAGCGCACGGCGTGATCTATTGGTACGAGCCTGTGTTGGATTCGTTTACTTGTTTAACAATGCTTTATATATTTACGCTTTTTAATAAGAAATTTGCCACATTCGATGTTATCATACAATGATTCAACTAACGACACCTTGCTAAGATTCACGGACAATCGATATCAATATTTAATCATTTCAATATAATATAGCACTAATCGATGTATTAAAAGACAACTTATAGTACATAATGATAATTATTAAAGAACAGTATTGAACCGATCTAGACGTGTTTTAAAAATTATTCCAGTAGAAGTAATAGACTAATAGTTGACTAGAACGCTGCATTTATTGTTGTAGAAAGTAAATCATTATAATCTGATTGTATGATGATGTTTACAATGTTGTAACCCTGTAGGTACGTAATCTCCTATGTATTGTTGTTATGTTCCCCAGCTGTCGTCCCAAAGGTTAGTGAGTCCTTTAAGAACCTTTACATTGTAAAGTATTTCTACTCTAAATTGAAAATATGTATTTCTGTAAAATTTTACACTTCAGAGTATACGATATATTTTACGTCTTCACTTTTGATAAAATTTACCCTACTATGCTCAAATATCAATTAATTTATCACCTAGAAAATGTTTATAAAAGATCATATTTATTTTATACCCCTGATCTATCCCATGTTATTAAATATTAATATATAGAATCTAGCTTTAGTAAATAGTTTTAATTCTTTCAATGACAGAATGTAACAAAATATTTGCCATATAATGAAACAGTCATTACGTATGAAGTATGAAGAGAAAATGTTGTTCGGAGGGTAAATTCTAAGACACCTCGAGAAAAAAGTAACGAATATATATGTTGATTGTCTATTGTGTTGTTTATTTCAAATCCAAAACCTAAACTTTAATAAGGAACTGCTTTCCACTCATACTTGGGATAAATATTCTCACATGTCCTCTTTCCCTTACCACTCCTCTATCAGACAGATACCATCACACCATAAACCTCTTCTTTCCTTTTATAGAACACCACTCACCCACCTAACCATTTTTTCCTTTGGTTGTCCTCTTCTTTTCCATCAATTCTCCCCAACAATAAATCTAATTGAGCTTAATAACAAATTGGTTAATTTGGGTTCAAGTGCGCACTTATAGCTCTACCTTATCAAACATCATTATATTATCTATCTTCTCTTCTATATCACTAGTCAAAGAGTAACCATTTTCTTCTTTGGTCATCCTCTTCATTTCTATCGTCCCTACCTCGACAAACATTATCACATCATCAATCTTCCTTTCTTTTACATCAACACTCACAAAAGCCAACCTTTTTTTTTTCATTTGCCATAATCCGATATGTTCCTTCCTATCCGGGCTCTCCTATCAGACTGCATCATATGACCAATCTACTTCTCTCCTATACCACCATCCATCCATACAGTCTAACCATATTTAGCCATCAAAGAAGACAACTATTTGTTCTATCATTTTCCTAGACATCATCAATTTCCTTCTCTTCCATCACTTCTTTCATAATAATGCCTCTTCCCTTCTATCTATCTACATTGAAATTCAAAACGTCTAGTTATTTTCGTCTAGTGGATACAGATACTGAGCACGGGCTCGTCTAGGAGCCATCATGAAATTTCTGGATATAGAGATTACCATACATAGCAGCGTAGAGTGCATAGAGTATAATATAATCGTCTACTAATTGGGACTAACAACAAACTTGAGGCCAGTGGGTACACTCATAGTACAGTACAGTACTGCTTACCCATAATACCTATATTTCTCTAATAGACAACTAGGTTCTGAAGTCCAATATCACCTTGAAATAAACTCTTATGGTCCTATTTCTCAAAACTATCGTACAAAACAAATGGTGAACTTTATCGTTTCTTTATATTTTATCTTATCAGCTACACAAAAATGGTTTATTTGTGTCGTATGTTGCTACCTAGTACGCACAATCAATTTGTAATCAACTTTTGTAGTTATGACCCAAATTTACGTCTATACGTGCGAATGCTAATACTTACCACGAGAAACAAACTGAGATAACGATGGCGTCCTCCTGTTTAACCGAACAAAGAATAAAGGTAGAAGAATATACTGAGGGCTATTTATTTATACAACGTCTACCCACATATATTATTACGCATGACGACATACCTGTAATAGATTTCTTGCTATTGTTATAGTCTAAATAACAATAATAACACGAAAACAGAAACATCGGTAATTAGGTTAATCTATATTTAGATAGGAAATATGTAGGTCAGATTGTCTCACAATCATTGTGATATACTACACCGCCCCATATCATTGTTTAAAATACAATAATGACATTGATAGAACCGACAAACTGCGAAAAAGGCTGTGTGCCGAAATTAGGACGAGCGACGATGCCAACATAAAGTTCGAAACGCTAAAATATTGATAGCATTTAATGCAAGCCGTAGCTGAAACCACGAAATTCAATATAAAGGCTGCAAAGTTTAATGAAACTTTGCAAGAACTTTTCTTACCAAAATAGAGACTCCAAAATAAACCTCTATTACAATATTCATTGCTACACTGAAACACTAGGAAATGATGTCAATAACAAGTCATCTGGACCTGTACCTCTAAGTTCAACAGTGGTCAAAAAACAAACATGTTTAATGTAGCACAGTGTAAGTAGCCGCATACGTGAGCTATCGACAAGCGCGCCGATTGGGCCGATACCTACCACGGACTCGCAATACTTGCATACGGAACGACACTAATGCCCGATATTAGGCACCATGCGGAATGCATACGAAGAATACGAGCTGAATAGTCACATTCTTGCTAACCAATTTCTGCTAGGCGCTTGGTAAGTATGCACGTAGAGACTTTGTGATATAAGCAAGCATTGACTCCATTGTTCTTCGAATTAATATTGCAACATTTCCCGTCTGTTTCGTGACAATGTCCTTCCCTAAGGATACCGGCAGACATTTTTATTTATCCTTCCGTTTATCCGGCCTAGCCAATTTTCAATGGAGTGATTGCGCCAAGTCTTCGACTACTGTCAAAGATAAAGCAAAGACGTTTAAGCTAGTTCTTATAAGTTTGACGTCTTTTTAATTAATTTTTCTGGCGCTAACTCATGACTTTGATCTAGATGGGTAAAGTGGGAAAGAAATATATTCGTAGTTCTCCTATTTATTGCTAGTAAATCACTTTCAAGTACATAGAGTAAGTGAATTGATTCATGTAGGTAACAGGATATTAACAGTTAGCCAATAGATTACAATCTGATGGCCTCTAATCATCATAGTTGTGAATTAATTAATTCATGTCAAAAACTAAATTATCCCGCATAGTGTTCATGTAATTACATGCAGGAACTAATCAAACTCCGGCAGGTAATAATAGATAATTGTTATTCCGTGATAGTTACTAAATTATCATTATTATCAGTACTGTGCGACTGCTGGGCAAGGGTCTCTGGTTCGATTCCCGAGTCGGCACAGTATTACTGGGTATTTTTATTAAAAAATCTTAATAGTAGCACGGAGTCTAAAATTGTGCCCGGTATATGGCAATAGGCTCTTCCTCTACTACCTGGGACTCATAACATAAATAGTGAGAAGTGGGTGTTAGATTGTACAGTGGCATTAAGTGCCGTAATGTGAACCTCTGCCTACTCCATCGGGGATAAAAGGAGTGATGTTATGTTATTATCAGTACTGTCTATATAAATACATTTAGCACAAACAATAGCTTTCTACAATCATGATTATCATAGCTATTATTATTTTCGACTCAAATATTTCTGTTTTATATGAGTCCTGATCTGACTTAAAATTAATTAAATTTCTTTATTGCTTCTTACCGAACTTAATAGTTGTTTCAAAGTATTTTAATTCAATTATATTATTTGAAACTTTTTAGTTACTATCAATTTTACTTTATTACGTGGATACATACATCTCATGTATCCTGCCTACAAAGATATTTTTTAAGAAACGTTGCCCCACGTTTGGATGTTCTCCTATGTCGGGGGTGCGTTTACAAACATACAAGTTCACATACACATGACACCCAGACCCGGAACAACAATTTGTGGATCACACAAAGAGTTGCTCCGTGCGGGAATCTAACCCGCGACAGCCTGTTGCCCAGCCATCGCAACGACCCGTGCCGTCAATAATAAAACCGTTTATTGACTTAAAGTATTGTTTTGAATTATAGACATGATAATGCTTATGGCATTTTTGAATTCTCTAAATGGCTGTTTAATGTGATATCCATATTGTAATAATAGAAGAAAAAACATAACTTCAAACTGTAGCGTCTCATATAATTGTCTAAATCGTGGGGTAATGTAGAAGAAACGAGGTAATAAAGAATATTACACTGAGTAGGCTAGCGTTAGATGGTTGGATAAAGGGCCTGATGCAGAAAGCAGTACTTTTGGACATGGCGCGTATTGTCAGCAAATTCCTTTCTCTGGAGTCAAGTCTGTGAGTCTGGGCTACTGCTTTTTATATTTTAATGCATTTTTTTTTTATCTAATATTTAAAACACATAACATCACGCCTTTTATCCCCGAAGAAGTAGGCAGAAGTGCACATTATGCCAGTGTACAATGGTAACACCCACTTTTCACTATTTATGTTATGAGTCCCATGTAGTAGGGGGTAGGCCTATTACCATATACCGGGCACAATTCCAGACTCTGTGCTACTACTGAGATTTTTTTTAAAACCCAGTAATACTTTGCCCGACTCGGGAATCGAACCCGTGACCCCTTGCCCGGCAGTCGCACTTGCGACCACTCGGCCAACGAGGCAGTCAATTTATAACTATATAAATCAAGTATGTATATAAAAATATATTACACTCATACATTGGTACAAGACAAGCGCGAAAAACAATACCCTAGCTACATAACAGTCGGGTAATAAAAAAGGCCTAATAATATTATTACAAGTCTCATAAAAGGTGCGTATTTCAAAAAAAAAACCTCATGTGTACAAGCCTAATTATGAGCATTGCTCTTAATTTGGCCCAACTATGACGTAACCAGAACAGTGTGAATAGCATTTGGTGCGCAGACGCATGATCTAAGAGTTATTTATTTTGCAGTCTGTTTTAAAATAGCGTGACTACTTGTAAATTATTCCTGAGAATCACTCTTGTAAACAAATGTTATAAATTAAGATGCATACCGATCCATAGGGTTTAAAATTAAAACGCAATGTAACATAACGTCACAGTATTTCCTGAAAAAGTAGGTAACTATTGTCAGGTACAGAACATCAACTAATATCATAATTACTTTGAGTTTAAATTGGCAATTCGACACTAGGCAGAGTCACCCTATTAGATACATAAGGCATTATTAAAAAAGTATTTTCATTTAATAAAATAAAAGAGAAATAAATGCATCTTTTAAAGTCATGTATGTAGATAATGTGGATACACACCTACTGTAGTTATTCTCTAATCCAAGGAACTACTATCTAACTAGCGAAATGCAGATCCGAATGCCACTAATGGAGCCCGTGAAATCCACTTTAGTGACGTTATTGGATCAATGCTAGCCAGCTCCTGCCGCATAAAACATATCTACCTGCATGGATTCTCGTATGAGGACGACGTAAACTTATATTT